CCACACGACCACCACCACCACCCCCCCCCCCCCCCCCCCTACCCCTCCTCTCGTACCAGGCCTAACTTTACTCATCGGGTTCCACCCAGAGCTCAAATGCATCGCCGCGCCGGGTGATGCCCGAGAACTGCGGGCGACGCTTCTGCCTGCTGAGCTGGCGGGTCGAGCCGAGCGTGCGTGCGACCTCAACCCGGGTGCGGGCGTTGAGCGGCGGGACGACAATGTACGGCGTGGGGAGAGGGCCCTGGCCACGGATGGCCGAGTGCGCCACGTCCAGCGTGTCAGTCAGCACCGCTTGTGATCCGTCATTGCCTTCGGCGGCATCGCCGTCGTCGACTGCCGCGCCGTCGTCGGCTGCCGCGCCCTCGGCCTCATCGAGCGAGTGCACTTGAGTCCGTGACGCGCCCTGCTCGGTCACAGTCTTGCGCAGATAGAGATCAGCGACGAGATAGTCGAGGTCCGGTGGCTCTGCACGAACGTTTGCCGCCGTTGTGATGAACGGCTTTGGCGTGGCAATCGTCGGTGCCAGTGTCTCGGCCCACGGATAGCCCTTGTACTTGGCCTCCCACTTGCGAGCCGACTCGTTCTCGGCCTCACACCTGTAGTGCCACACATGGTCCACAAACGCAGACGTCATACTACCACCAACCTTATCTTACTTGCCAAGCCTCCTGTCGTCTGTACCTATTGCCTCTACTCTTTCAATCCGCCCAACTCACAACCTGCCGTTGCCCCTCCAACAGCCAAGCGAGGAGTGTCACTCGCACCACACACGCTTGTTGTCCAACGTCCAACGTCCAACGTCCGCCTCACTGCGAAACCTCCAACGATCAAAGAAATAGCAATATAATCGTCACCCCCCCCCCTCCCCCCGTCCATCGTGTCACCTCAATTTTCACTTTGTTCGCCACCGACGCAGACTCGCGACCTGAGCACGTCATTGCCTCTCCCCACCTCATACCCTCTCCTTCCCCTCCCCCCCCTCCGCGCTCCCCACTGACTGTTGTCCCGCACCACCACTCATCTGTAGCAATCTCACAGAACCGAGTACCCTCCCTACACCCCCCCCCTCCCCCCCTCCCTTATCCCCCTCCCTCGCTCTGCTTCTCCACCCGCGGCGTGGATATGGGCCTCCTCACCGTCGGACGGCCGCTGTCATGGGACGAGTCGCGGCGGTACCGTGAGTATGTCCGCCAGCACGGCGTCATTCAGTTTCTCAATCTGTACAAGCGACTGATGGAGGAGCCGCGGGATGACTGTCTTCTGTGGGGCGATGAGATCGAGGGCATGGTCATCGAGTTTGACCATGACGCCCGCAGAGTCCGCCTTGCGCTTGTGGCTGAAGATGTCATCGAGGCCGCCAACGCCGAGGCAGATCCGGCCGATGCCATCTTCCATCCCGAGTACGGATCGTACATGGTGGAGACTACCCCGGGTACGCCCTACGCCGCCACCTATGCCGCTCTGCTCTCGGTCGAGGCCAACATGGCTGCCCGCCGCGCGCTCGTCGCCAACCAGCTCGCTCCCAACCAGGCGTACTTTACTCTCGGTGGCTTCCCACGCCTCGGCTGTGACGACTTTACCTCGCCGGCCCACGCGCCCGGCGGCCCCATCGCCAAGTCGCAGTACTCGCCTGACGAGGCCATCAACTCGCACCCGCGCTTTGGCGCCCTCACCGCCGCCATCCGCCAACGCCGTGGGCGCAACGTCGACATCCGCGTCCCGGCCTTTGTCGACGAGGCCTCAGTCGACCCGCCGGTCATTCACATGGACTCCATGCTGTTTGGCATGGGCCTCTGCTGCGAGCAGGTCACCCTCCAGGCCATGGACCTCGACGAGGGCCGCGTCATCCACGACCTCTTTGTCGTCCTCGCCCCGCTCTTTATGCCGCTCACCGCCTCGACGCCCATCTACCGTGGCCGCCTCGCCGACGTCGACTGCCGCTGGAACATCATCTCGGCCTCGGTCGACGACCGCACAGAAGCCGAGATGGTGCGGCCCGACGAGGCCGCAGGCCCGGTCGCACGCGACCCGCCGTCGTCCAAGACTACCACCACCACCCACACCACCACTCAGAACGTTGGCGACGCCCTCGTCGTCACCACCACGTCAACGACCACCACCACCACCACCATCCCGCTCGGCGACGGCGCCACCCGCTCCGAGTCGCAGTTCCTGCCCAAGTCGCGCTACGCTTCGGCCTCGGCCTACGTCTCGCTCAGTGCCCAAGAGTACAACGACATCGACGCCCCCTTCCACTACCCGGCCTTCCTCACCCTCGTCAACGCCGGCATCGACAAGCCGCTCGCCCGCCATGTCGCCGCCCTCTTTGCCCGCGACCCGCTTGTCCTCCTCTCCGGCCTCATCGAGGAAGTCTCCGACGCCACCTCCACTCTTCATTTTGAGTGCCTCGCCTCGACAAACTGGGGCTCGGTCCGCCTCAAGCCGCCGCCGCCCGACTCGAACATCGGTTGGCGCGTCGAGCTCCGCTCCATGGAGACCGGCATCACAGACTTTGAGAACGCCGCCTTTGCCGTCTTCACCATCCTCCTCACCCGCGCCCTCCTCTCATTCAACGCCAGCATCACCATCCCCATCTCGCTCGTCGACGACAACTTCGACGTCGCCCAGCGCCGCGACGCTGTCCTCAACGAGGCCTTCCACTGGCGCATCTCCTACGGCGCCGCTGCTGCCGCTGCCCCCGCCTCGGTCGGTAAGGCCTCGCTGGACCACATCTTCAACTCGGACCTCATTCCGCTCGTCGAGTCGTACCTCGACTCGCTCGCCCTCCCTTTGACGTCCGCACAAAGCTGCAGGCCTACATCGACCTCGTCGGCGCCCGCGCCGCGGGCTCCCTCGCCACCCCCGCTCACTGGATCCGCAACTTTGTCACCTCTCACCCCGACTACGCCAAGGACGGCCGCGTCACAGACTCGATCCAGTACGACCTCCTCACCGCCGTCACGCACATTGCCGACGGCTCCCGCCACGAGCCCTCGCTCTACGGCGATCTCCGCGCCGCTACCGCTGCTGCCTCTCAGTAACATCTCGCAATGCGTGCGCTTCACCGCCCCCACCGCTCTCCGCTTCAACCCTTTTACGGTACAAAGCCTTAGTTGTACACCAGATACGTCGATGTCGCCGAAAACTTGGCGTACGACTTGATCACCTTCTGCACCGCGTCAATAAAGTCCTGGTGCGAGACCGTCCGCCGCCGCGCCCGAATGGCAAACATGCCCGCCTCGGTACAGACCGACCGCATGTCGGCGCCCGTGGCGTGCGGGCAGAGCCGCGCAATGAGCTCAAACCGGATGCCCTTCTCCACCTGCATCTGTCCCGCGTGGATGCGGAGAATGTGCGTCCGGCCCTCGAGATCCGGCAGCCCAAACTCGATCTTGCGGTCGAGCCGCCCGGGCCGCAGCAGCGCCGGGTCGAGCGTGTCCGGCCGGTTCGTCGCCATCAGCACCTTGATGTTGCCGCGCGCGTCAAAGCCGTCCAGCTGGTTGATCAGCTCCAGCATCGTCCGCTGCACCTCCGTCCCCGATCCGGGGTCATCCTGCCGCGCCCCGCCGATCGCGTCCACCTCGTCAAAGAACATGACGCACGCCTTGCGCGCACGCGCCATCTGGAACAGCTCGCGCACCATCCGCGCACCCTCGCCCACGTACTTTTGCACAAGCTCCGATCCAATGACACGGATAAATGTCGCGTCCGTCCGGTTCGCCACCGCACGCGCAGAGAGCGTCTTGCCCGTCCCGGGCGGCCCGTACAGCAGCACGCCCTTCGGCGGGTCGATGCCCAGCTGGATGAACCGCTCCGGATGCAGCAGCGGAATCTCAAGTACCTCGCGAAGCTGCTTGATCTGCTCCTTGCACCCGCCCACGTCCTTGTACGTCACGTCCGGCTTCTCCTCGATCTCCATCATCGTCACAGACGCGTCCACCTTGGGCGGCAGCGGAATCTTGATCTGGTACTTGGTCCGGTCCACGCCCACGCGCATCCCCTCCTCGATGTCTGCAGGCGCAACCTGCTCGCCGAGCGAGACCACAAACTTGGCCATCTGCTTCACGTTGATGATGTAGTGCAGCTCGCCGTCGTCCTTCTTGATGATCTTGGTGCACCGCGCAACCTGCAGCGGCTGCTCGCTCTTGATCAGCTGCATGTCCGCCGCAAGGTCCCAGTACGACGGCGGCGCAAGCCCCGTGTTCGACTCCTTCACCCCAATGATCTTCTTCACCTTCTCCATCACCTCCTTGATCGAGTCCTCCGCATCCTTCAGCTTGCCCGAGTACGGACCCACTCCGTATGCCTTCAGCAGCTCGATGTCGCCCTTGTCAAGCGGCACAATCTCCGCCTCCTTCTCGGGCTCATCGTCCGCATGAACAGGCTTCTCTTCCTTGCCCTTCTTTGTGCCCTTGGCCACTGCACACCCTCCCGACACACACACATACCACCACATTCACATCCACCAACGCGCATACACACACACACACATACACACACACACACACACACACACACACACGCACACACGCACGCACACACGCACGCATCGCAACACACACACACAAACGTCCCTCAACTCATGTTAGTCACTGCTCCCCTTCAACTGCCCGATTCCGGCTCTCCGCGCCACAGGTCGCCTTCCGCCCGACTGCCGCTCACCCACCCACACCCCCCTCCTCCCACCATCCCCACACACCACACACACACAAACACGCACATACACACACGCCCTCTATCCCAGCATTTCTCCTCCTCCTCTCCTCCTCTCCCACCTACTCTGCTCACTTCCACCTTGTCTGCCCACATGCACTGCAAGCAGGTCGCCCGACCACCTGGTCGTCTTCCACCCCGCCTACCTTCCTCTCCCTCTGCCACCACTCATTTTTGCCTTCTATCCCACGCACCTGCCTCCCCCTCCCACCCCCCTTCCCCTTCCCTCTCTCTCTCCACCACAACAGCAGCGTCTATACTCTACGTACTCTTTCTGCTGTGCAGACTGCCGGGTGCGAGTGCGGTGTACCGTCTCCCTCCCACACTCCCAACACCTCGTCCCGCTCCCCACCCGGCGCCAACTGATCAACCTCGTCTCCGATCGATCACCGCTACGATCGATCACCCCCCCCTCCGACCACTCCAAGGAGCCACTGCACCACTCGACCTCGTTCCACCCACCACACAAACGCAAACACATACACTCGCCAGTCGCGGCTACTGCGAAGATGTATTTGGCATGTACACCAATACGTGCCCTGGTGCTCGTGGTCTCCATTCTGGTCATTGTTCAGTTTGGTATGGTCCCGCAAGCACTCAAACTCCTCCTCGCACATGAGCAGTGCCAAGCAGAGCTGACAGCATTGAGAGCCTTACCACCGCCGCCGCCGTGCCCAGACCCCACACCTATCATCTTTGAGAGAGATAGACTCGCTCGTGATCTGCGTGAGAGGACAGAACAGCTCAATGTGGCCAAGGCTCGGCTGAAGCTTGTCCAAGGCCCGGGCGCCGGCGTGGCATCCTCCCAGCGTGCCCTTGCTCTTCGTCGCGAGATGCACGCCAGACTCTCCGAGAGCCCAAGCTCCGAGCGGAAGTGTGTGCTCGCCGACGTCAAGCCGGCTACTCGCCAGGATAACAACGACCTGCTGAAGGTCCTTGTTTACAAGCACGAGTACGAGAACTCGCTGATTAAGGCCGAGGAAGGTGGCCCCATGGGCGAGCTCGCCCTCTTCCACTCGCTGCTCGACGCCTTGCACACATCGGACCTTGTAGCCGACGGCGGCGTCTTTCTTGCCTCGTCACCCGCAAGTCTGGATGCAGTGCTGGTAGACACCCCGTTTGATGCATTTGATGTCATCTTCACCGACCAGTACTCGTTTGCTGTCCTCGAATCGGCGGGCCTCTTTCACCTCGATCTCGACCGCTGCCGCTACCGGTTTGTCGACTTTTGGGGCACGCCGCCGAACCAGAACTCGGTTTGCTTCCATCTGCGCCAGTATCTCACCCCGTACGCCAACGAGTGGAACGCGCCCATGTTCTACGACGCGACTGTGTCGGGCGCGCGAACAACAGACTCTGCCGCCAAGCTCGTCTCGCAGGAGGACATCGACCGCGAGCTTGCCGATCTTCCGCCACGCTTTGCTCTCATCTACGGCAAGGACGCAAAGTACTTTGCCACCGCCCGCAATGCCATTGCCTCTGTTGCCCGCAAAATCCCACTCGTCTCCACCGCACGCAACGCTCGCGGCCGCCTCCCGCCGGGCGTCATCACCCTCGGCGTCGTCTCCAAGCCGGCCTGGCGCGCTCTCCTCGCTCGCGCCTCGTTTGTCCTCGGCATGGGCCATCCCGTCATTGGCCCAACCGTCTTTGACGCTTGGTCCGTCGGCACGCCGTTCATCAACCCGACCTTTGCCAAGCCCTTCCAGCTCGCTGACAACACCCGCTGGGCCCTCGCCTCGCAGCATCCGCCGGCCGTCGACCTCGCCCCACCGGGCTACATCCACACCCTCGACATCAACAATGCCGCCACCCTCGCCAACGCTGTCGACACCATCCTCGCCCGCGGCAGACTCCAGCCGTTTGTCCCGCCAGACTACACTACCGCCGGCGTTGCAACCGCCATCGACGCCACTCTCCGTGCCGACTACTGCCGTCCGCTCGCCGACTAGCGCCACATGGTCACGTTCGTACATCACAACAAGACGTGTGACAGAATCATAAATAACAGACCTCATATCCTTGATCCCAGCTCGCCTGAATCGAAAACAGCCCACGCGCCGAACCCCTCCCCTCCCCCCCCCTCACCCCCCTCCCACCACCACACCTCACCACCACCTCCTCCACCACCACCACCACCACCGTCGCCATGTCGAGTGCGTCCGCATACTCGGACTATTCTCCCAGCTCTGCAGACGCACCCATTGTCCTGGACGACCACAAGGACGACGAGGTTGTTGCCACCGCACCTGCCGCCGCTCCAACCACCACGAGTGACGGCGAGCATGTTGCTGGCAATAGTTCGGTGACTCAGAGGAAACAGTCTTCGTCCCGGGATGATCCCAATGCTGGTTCCGTCTCAGACGTCTCGCTCGCCTCGGGTGATCTGATCTCCGACAACGGGCCGCCACATGTGGCTCTTCTCCCGGCGAGGATGAACTCGGACGGTGAGCTGGTGGCTGTCGCTCCGATGGCTCGTGGCTCCTCGGCTCGCTCGCTCACCCTCCTCCAGCCCATGGCCGGCTGGCTTGCCTTCTGCGGCTACGCTCCGGGAGGCGGCATCGTCGGCACTGGCTGGGCCTTTCTCGTCTGGGCCATGGTCGTCACCCACGCTGTTGTCATGTTCTCCCTCACCGTTTACCCGATGCGCTTGACCGAGTCCACCTTGTCCGGCTTGGCCATCCTGGCCCTTGCCCCCGTCATCACCCTCCCCACCTTCAACCGATACATGCGGTCGGGCGTGCTCGAGGACGAGGTAGCAACGTGCAAGTACGTCCACCAGTACTCGGGCCGCGCCGTCCGCCAGCTTGCGCTTGGCCACACGCTCGCGGCCATGGCTGTCTCGCTCTTTCTTGTGGTGGGGTGGAACGTGACGCTCGGCCTCGCGCTCGATGGCCAGGGCTTTGGCGGTGGTAAGTCGGACGCCCTCTACTGGGTCGAGCTCGTCACCTCGATCTTTGCCATTCCGGCCATGGTCACCCCGCTTGCCATGCTCTCGCTGGTGTGCAACCTGCATCGGCTGCAGTGTCTCTCGTTTATTGGCCGGCTCACCGACGCCGACATGCACATTCCGTCGGCACTCCGCCTCCATCAGGCCATCCGCCGCTCCATTAAGGCCTCCTCGCGGCTCTTCACTCGCTGGGTCTTCCCCGCAGCCCTCATCTGCGCTGTCTCGCTCACTTACCAGATCTATGGCTACCTCTTGAGCCACAGCAGCTCGCGCCAGTATAACGGCATCTACCACATCATTGCCGTCACCCTCATCCTCGTCGTCATCCTCGGCGCCACCACCTCGGTCACCCGCGCCGCCCACAACGTCCGCCACGCTACCGCAGAGCTCTACGCGGTCTCATTTGGCAGCGCCGCTGACATCTCTCGATTCATGGTCTACCTCAACAACACAGACCTCGCCTTCCGCATCTTTGCCGTCCCCATGTACCCGGCCTACAACTCACTGGTCATCGTCGGCTTTTCCGCCGTTGTCGGCGGCGTCGTCCGCCAGGCCACCATCTGAGCCACACCTGCCTTTGCTACCCTTCATTGAACAAAAGCCCCTTCACTCCCGGTCAGGCCGAACCACGACAAACGCCGCAAAGCCGCCGTATGCTGCAAGCAGCACCGCGCCGCCGACCCAGTGCAGCCGCCACCGCGCCGCTGCCAACACCGCCACCACCAGAGCGAGCGACGCAAAGAAAAAGAGCGCAAAAACCCGCATGTCGCTCGTGTTGACCACAACCGGATCGCCCATCAAAGCCGAGAGGAACCATGGAAGAGCGAGCGCGACAAGGATGTCAAACACGTTCGAGCCCATCGCGTTGGAGACACACATCGTGCCATGGCCCTGTCGCGCCACAAAGACCGACGACAGCGCGTCCGGCATCGACGTCCCGATAGCCAGAGCAGTGAGGCCCAACGTCTCCTGTGAGATGTGTAACATGCATCCAATGCGCGCTGCAAAGGCAGAGACGCCGTATATCATGAGCGCAAGCCAGGCAAACGAACAGAGGAAGGTGAGGACAACCAGGTTGCCTCGCGGCGGAGGGATGGTGTATCGGAAGAGGTGCTCCAGCGGAGTCCACACAACCGCGGTGAGCGCGCCCTCGCACCGCCGCCGAGCCACCCGCAGCTGTTCAGACTCACGCGTCCGCGAGTAGCCGCCCAAGTCCGGCGACGTCGACTCGTTGCTCGACTCGGAATCGGCATAGACTGCCAGGTTCGAGAGCCGCGGAGGTCGCCCGGCCTCGGCCACATCGTCGCTGAGGCCGAGCTCACCATCAAAATCCTCGCCAAAGTACAGCACATCGAGCGAAGGCTCCTCCAGCCGGCCAACAGGCGCAGAACGCAGCGGGGGAGGCGGGGTCGAGGCTCGGGCGGCGGCGGCAAAGACCGAGCCGAACCGAGCGACCGGATCAATCTCGCCGTTGTTGCTGCCGCTGCTCTCGTCGGCTTCTTCCTCCTGCTGCTCCTGCTCGTCGCACTCGCCGTCGCCGTCAACATTGTCGGTCCACAGCGCATCCAGAGATGGCGGCAAGAGCGGAAACGCGCGGGCCTCGTCGATGGCGTCGTCTGTGAGCAGCCCGTCGCCACCCCACGAGTCAAGCCGCGGCCGAAGCGCTGGACCGTCTGACCACATCTCGTTCTCCTCCTCATCTGCGAGTGAAAGCAGCCGCGCACGCTCGGCGCGACGCCCGTCGCCATCAGTCGCCGCCATGGCAGCAGCAGCAAGTGAACCCGGCGCCGGGCTCTGGTGTGCGTACGGCTCAAGCCAGGCGCACGCGGTCGGGGCCAGAGCCAGGGTCAGACTGGCGATGGAAGCCGAGGCAAGGAGGCACGTGAGGTAAATGGCGTAGAGGACAAGGCCGATAGCGGCCTCCCACCACGAGATGGCGGCATCCGAGAAGATGGCCATGAGATAGCCAAAGGCGAGCACGTTGACCACCATGTCTCGCAGCAGAACCTTTGGCGAGAGAGCCAAAGCCGATCCCGCAGCCACAGCAGAAGCACCGATGATGACCAGGAGGTTGAAGACGGCTGAACCGACAATGGTACCAATGCCCATAGCATCCGTGGGATAAGTGAGCGCCGCCAAAGCCATCAGTAGCTCTGGCATGGATGTGCCTGCAGCCATGATGGTAGCACCAAGTACGTTATCAGCGAGACCAGTCCTTGCACCCACAGCTTCCAAAGCTTGATAAAACCGTCCTTCACACACCACAGCCACCCCAAGCATCAAGTACCCCACCCCTGCCATGTAGCCCAGCATGACCCAAGCCGAGCCGTCGTCTCCCACGCACCCACCACCGCCATGCCCACCACCATGACCCGCACTACTTGTGCTGCCATCACTCGCCCACGTCGTGAACATGACCCAAGAGGACCACGTCGAACAAAAGGCTGGAGTTGTGTGGCTTGGGTCTCGTCGTCGTCAGCATGGCTGGTCGCCGTCTGTGGTACGTGTAGGTGACAAGGTCGGCTTGGGGCTGACATGCCCGTGCGCACAGCACGACGAATCGGCTTGGGCACGAGATCGTGACACGTTTCGAGATCGATGACGTGGGGAAGGCCAAAGGCCAAGATGGCGCTGGGGTGTTGCGATGAGAGGCAGGGGGGATTGGGATGGCGGGTAGGGGGGGGGGGGGGGGGGGGTTGAGCTCGTCGGTCGGACAGGTTCATCGGTGGTAGTGGGCACGAGTTGTTGACGGGTGGGCGTCCTGGTAGGGGGGGGGGGGGCAGTAAAGGACATGGTACCGATTGATTTTACCTTTCTTGGGTGCTTTGCCATCGGTCCCTGCCATCGCAGCGGGTGTTTGCCATCCATCGCCACAGATGGTCGCTGGAGAAAGACATAGCTGGCACGCCCGTCAACCGTTGGGCGACCACGTCAAGCCGGATAAAGAGCCTTCGCTTGGGTCGGGCACTTGAGCCACTTCTCCCAGGCGTTGCTCTCGTGTAGCAACTGCACTCTCCCCTTTCCACCTCAACTGGTGCTGGCTGTGGTGACCTCTACCTTGCTAGCAAGAGCTTGTAGTGGCGGACCAAGTGCAGCGGCAACCACTCGGCGCCGAGTGGAGATTCGTCGTCCCGGCACCAGCACCGGCATCGGCATTGGCATCAGCATTGCCTGTATGTCGAGTTCATCATCGCTCGCAAGGCTGCGGCAGAGTAAGTGGTTGGAATCAGTGACGGGTAGGCGGAAAGAGGGAGGGAAGACGACTCACGGCGATGGCGACGTCGGATACGCAGAGTCGCCGGGCAAGACACCGACATGGCGTGATCTGGTGCGGACTGGGGCGGACCAAGTGCAGCTGCAGCACTCGGCGCCGAGTGGAGATTCGTCGTCCCGGCACCAGCACCGGCATCGGCATTGGCATCAGCATTGCCTGTATGTCGAGTTCAACATCGCTCGCAAGGCTGCGGCAGAGTAAGTGGTTGGAATCAGTGACGGAGTGGTTGGAATCAGTGACGGGTAGGCGGAAAGAGGGAGGGAAGACGACTCACAGCGATGGTGGCGTCGGATACGCAGAGTCGCCGGGCAAGACACCGACATGGCGTGATCTGGTGCGGACTGGGCGCAGTGGAGGCCACGTGGTCATCGAGAAGCTATCGCCAGCGTTTGCATCGGTGTACGGAGCGGCGAGTGTGCCGAGTGATGGCAGCGGGAGCGAGAGGCGCCCCGCAATCGACCCGTATGCGGTCGAGCCGCAGGCAATGCGGAACGCGCGCGGTGGCGATAGGCGGCGCAAGAAAAAGCGGCGGAAGCGCAAGCACAAGTCGCGGCCACAACAACGTGACGGCGGAAGCCAGTCGGCGACAAGTGGCGGTGAGTGGGGTGACGCCCACGGCGTGGCTCACGGTCTCGCCCAGGTTCCACTAGACTCGCTCATCGATCTGCAGAAGCACTTGGTCGCGCAGTCGCGCCGGCTTGCGTCGCAGGAAGAGGAGCTCCGCGCCGTGCGGCGCAAGCTCGCCGATGTCGGATCTGGCGAAGCTCGTGCGCCTGAGCGTCCGCACGATGCTGGTCGTGGGGCTGTCGGCAGCGCGGACACAGCCCAGGGCGACCTTGGTGTCGTCAAGGTTGTCCATCCGCTGGAAAACGAGGCCGTGGCGCTGTCGGACTCGCTGTTGAGTCTACGGCCGCCGTTCACGCCGGGCGGGAAGCCCAACTCGCCGCGGCGCGTGCGCCCGGGCACGACGGTCCACATTCCACCGCCGTCACCGACTCGGCCTGTCGAAAGCCTGGCCTGCTCCGGCGCCGGCCAGCCCGGTCCTGTGTCGCAGGTCCCGCGCATTGCCGTCCGACTCGACGCCGTGGACGATGCCGGTGAGCTCGAGGCAGGCTCGCTCGACGCGCTCGTGGCGTCGCTTCAGAATCAGCAGCGGGCGTACGACGCGTCGCGCAAGTCTGGTCGGTCACAATACCTGCCGCTTGTGCGGCAGCTCGAGACGAGCAGAGGCGGCAGCAGCGCAGGCATGGGCCCCGGCCTGCCGGGCGTCCCGCGAGTTCGAGTCTCGCTCCGCGAGCTTGAGCAATGATGGCGGTGGCCAAGTTAGCGAATGATCTGCCGCGGCGAGGTCTGGAGGGCAGCAAGGAGCCAGTCAATCGCCTCCGTCACACCGGTGCCGTCCTTGGCGCAGATAGGTGCCACGTGCATGTTGTGGTCGGGCACGTCGGTGACCCCAAAGGCGTCAGCCACCACGTCGGGGTCGATGGCGTCGTCCTTATCCATCTTGTTGCACAGCAGGAGAACTGGCGCACCAGCGAGCCTCGGATCGGCAACCACTGTGTGGAACGTTGACCGGGCCTCGTCCATCCGGACCGTGTCGGAAGAGTCGATGACGAACACCACGGCGTGTGCCTCGTTAAAGTACCGATCCCACATGCCAATCAGCGACCGCTGGCCGCCCACGTCCCAGGTCACCAGGACCTCCGTCCAATTGGGATGCGCGCGACTGTGCCAAAACGTGAGTGAGTGGAGAGGGAAGTAAGAGGACAAGGAGTGAGAAGGATGCACAACGTACGGTTCAGCCCCACAGTGGGCGTGATCTTCTCTTCCGGCAGCGGATCCATGCCCAGGTACATCGACTTCATCTGCTCCAGCAACGTCTATACACATGTCCGTTCTCACTATGAGTTGTGTCACCCCCGACACCATACACCGCCGACATCTGACGGGTTGTGCGTCCATCACTGGCAGCAGCAGCAGCAGCAGCAGCAGCAGCACGTCGACCAATACGATCATTGTCGCGTCGTATCCGTCGATCAGACCGCAGCCACCACCATCACCACGATCAGGCCACCACATCGCGCAGGCCACCACATCGCGCAGGCCACCACATCGATCAGCAGCACTACGTCCGCGCTCTATCGATCATCCCCACCAGCATGACCTTGACCAACCAACCAACCCCGCCTGCGTCCCCTGCCCCGTCCCGGTCACCTCATATCCAGCCACACACACACACACACACACACACACACACACACACACACACACACACACACACACACACACACACACACACACACACACACACACACACGCCACGCATACCGTCTTGCCAGCATAGTCTAGACCCACAATAAGGGTAAACAGCTCGGTCTTGGTGAACAGATACTTCCACAGGCCGGAGAGGAGGGAGAACATGGCTTCCAGCCGAGTCGAGTGCCTTCCCGCCTTGTCGCCCAACCCGGCCCTGTTGTTGCTGCTGTCCGCCCCGCGCTCCGCTACCTACCACACCAGCTCAGTTCAACCCCCTGTCTGTAGCAGAGTCGATCGGTGTATGACACTGCGTCTAAACAGCATGGCCGATCAGAGGTTGTCATCAGGTGCCCGGCCTTCATCGCCACCCATCGCCACCCATCACACACATATACACACGCGCGCACACACACACATACACACACGGCTAAACAACCACCTGTAGTGGCCACATCTATCCCTGCCGGTCCGCGATTCAATGGAGACACATGCAGAGATACGCCTCATCCGATTGCAGCAAAAACTTGGGCCTGGTACATGGCATCTTACATAGCAAAGACCGCCATGCACGCATCAGCAAAGACCGCCCTGTGTGCATCAGCAAGTCACGTTGTGGATGCGCCCGACTGCAGACTGTGGCAAAGCTACAGATCGTCGTGGATGTTCTCCGGAAGATCGATGGTGGTCTTGAGCTCGTCCGCCTCACGACCAGCAATGGCAGCAAGCACCTCCAGGATGTGATCACTCGGCTCGAGGTCCTCCATCGAGTAGTGGAGCTCGACTTCGCAGCCTCTGCCCGAGAACTGTTCGGTAGCGAGAGCGATCTCTGTCCGGAGCTCGAGGAAGGGCAGAGCGTCTGTGGAAGGCAGTGCGACAGCGAGCAGAACAAGCGACCAGGCATCGTTCTCGACGTCTGCAGTGACCTCGTCGAGGACATGAGACATAGCTACCGGCACACTTCCGGGTGGAAACACTACATACGCGTCCTTCTCCGGTCCAGCCACTTGCTCGCGCCCGAGTGCCTCGGCCGCAGCACCTGCCGATGTCGAGATGGCAGCAAAGACGTCAGAGCACGAGGCGTCGAGGAGCGAGAGCCCCGGTGCAGATGCTGCTGCAGTACTGATGACAAGGCAGAAGAGCGCAAGGGTACCAGCCGCATGCATCCATCGAGAGAGAGACATCGCCAGTCTCACGGTATCAAGATCAAGAGAGGTGATGCCGTACTCGGTGTCTGCACACACAAACACACACACGCCCGATCACACACACACACACACACACACACATAAATATATATATATACATACACACATGCACACACACATACATACACACACACACACATCCGCGCGCATCAATGTGCCCCCTAAGGTCCCGATCATCACATCCATGATCTCTCACCCCTCCACCCCCGCTGCCGCCCGCTGGCGTTTGGCGCTCGCCCCCACAGATTCTACCGCTGGCGCCACCGACCGAGCCAGCCACGACCACCACACTCGGTGACCTTTGGAGGGCGGGGAGGAGGACGAGAGTATGGCATACTACGACATTGACGCCATTCTGCTTGATGACCAGATAGTGCCTGCCCACTTTAACACCGCCGCCATGGACCTCGGAGTGCTAGACCCGTCGACTCCGTCACCACACGTACGTACTGCCTTGCCTTGGCCTCAACAAGATAGAGCACACCACACCGCCATCACTCACTCATCCACGCACTTCATGGTCACTGCTGGCACAGATCGATCAAGGAACCGAGACGGACATCCCACTTTGGCTCGCACTGTCTCTGGCCAAGCGGAGCATTGTCACACTACGCTCGCCGTCGTTCTTTGGCGAGTCGTTCCAGGCCCATCTTCTCGCTGATGCCCAGGTCCTCAACATCCACGACAAATGTCCGTTCTTTTACGAGCTCGGCGTCAAGCTAGCAAAGCTGACCGGCAACTGGGCTCTACCGGCTGTTCTCAAGAAGGCCTTCCACACTCGCTACCTCCGTATCGTCGACACCTCGATCAACCTCGGTGCCGCAGACTACTCGGAGCACATCCGCAAGCTCACCACCGCAGAGCGCAACCTGTTCCATCTCGGCCACGCCGCGGCAGCAGAGGTTCTCCGCTACAAGACCCGTGACACAGACCGCCTGGCCGCATCGGCCGTCGTCACCCGCAAGCGTCGCCGTGCTGCGCTCGGCAAAAAGTAGACGCTCCCAGTTAAACCGTCAGTACCGCGAGAACTTGGCTCCGGCATACCGTGTGCGATGCGTTGTGCCTGATGCCCGCAACAGAGGCCCGCCGCCGCCGCCGCCTCCCTTGCCCATGCCCATTCCAGAGCTGCTGCCGCGCGGTGGGTACCCACTGCCTGTCCCGCTAGCCCCACTTGCTGCCCCAGTCCGGCCCGCCCCGATGCCGCCCAGTGCGGCGAACGGGTTGAGCGACCGCGGCCGCATTCCAGTCCGTGATGACGATGACAGCCGCGACGATGCCCGCGGCTGGCTCGCTGCCGGTCCAGCGGCAGATCCGGGCCCGGGCCCGCCTGCTCCGCTGTAACGCTGCGCGCCCGCCCGGGCCGCTGCCAGCCCAGGCAGAGGGTCCGTCGAGTACAGTGGCGTCCGCCGCCCCGGCATCGCTGCCGGTCCTGCTGTGCTCCGCTGCACGCCGTACGCGTCGCGGACCGGCCCGCGCTCGCGCCCATACCCACCACCGTATCCACCGACTCCGCCGCCGCCGACTTGGCCCGCCCCGCCGTCGTCCGAGTCGGACGACGAGCCAAAGGCAAACTCGTACTGATTGTTGCGCGTCCGCGGCGCGGCTGCACGGACCCGTGGCGGCTGCGACGCCCGCCCCACCGTGCCACGCGGTTGCGGTTTGCTGCTCCGCGCCGACGAGCCCGGCAGCAACGACGACGACGACGACGATGACGAGAGCAGCTCAAAGTCGTCCAGTGCCGTCTTGGCCCTTCGCGCGGCGGGCTTGGCGCCCGAAAACGCGTCGAGTGCATCCAGCTCGTCGTCCGAGATCTCCAGGTCAAACTCGCCGCCGGCCTTGCTTCTACCGCCGCCATACACCCCGCCGCCTCCGTACGCCCCTCCGCCTCCGTAAGCTCCACCGCTCCCGCCACCAGCCACACCCGTCGCTCCGCTCATGCCCTGCGACATGACGCGCGGCAGCCGCGACCGTGGAGGGTACGCCGAGTCGAGGTCGTCCGAGTCCGAGTCAGACGACAGAGCAAAGCCGCTGCGGCCGTCTCCTGTGCCACTGCTGCCTTTGCCTCCGCCCGCCCCGCCGTACGTCCCGCGCCCGATGCCGGCCAACGCAGCCTTGGCGCCCGGCGGCGATACGCTTGCCTTGGCCGGCGAACGGCCCGGCGCACGGCCTGCCCGCAGCGGGCGTAGCGGTGCAGGCGGTGCAATGGCCAGCGAGAAGAACGGGTGCCGGAGTGCGTCCTCGGCAGAGAGCCGCTTCTTCGGGTCCCAATGCATCAGCGACTTCATCAGGTCGAGGCCTTCGTCTGATGCGTTCGAGATGAGCGACGACAGCGGCGTCTCGGCCACCTGCGGAAAGGCGTAGCCCATCTTGGCCGCCAATTTCATGCCCTCCGGCCACTCGCGTGCCGACGGCGTGCCCAGCACCGAGCAGATCCGGAACAGCTGGTCCATCTCGGTCGAGCCCGGAAAAAGCGGCCGGAGCGTGTAAAGCTCCGCCATGATGGTGCCCACCGCCCACACGTCCACTGGTGAGTTGTACGTCGTCGACCGCAGCAGCACCTCGGGCGCCCGGTACCACCGCGTCGACACATACTCGGTGTACGGCGGTCGCGACCGGATCTCTCGCGCAAGCCCAAAGTCTGCAATCTTGCACAGCTCGTCGCCCTTGACCAGAATGTTTTCCGGCTTGATGTCGCGGTGGAAGAACGCGTTGGTGTGCATGTAGTGCAAGCCCTGCAGGATCTGGAACACAAGGTTGCGCACCCGCGACTCGGACAGCAGTTTGGTCCGTGCCTTGGTCATCTGATACAAGTTGCCGTCCAGAAACTCAAAGACAAAGAACAGCTCGTCGTTCTCGCGGATCACCTCTTTGAGCTTGACAATGTTCGGATGGTTGAGCTTCTTGAGCGACTGTCCCTCCACCAGCCCGCACCACCACATACAAGTGCACCCATGCGCACAGAGTCGCAAAGCAGCAACAGCAGCAAAAGCCGCACACAACAGAAACGCCGCTGCCCATGTGAGTTGGTCCTCTCTATATATACACTCCCACCTCGTCTCGTTCGCTCTACCAGGGGGGGGGGGGGGGGGAGGGCAGGGGGACCTTGCCACGCACTGGCGTGTTGTGAACAGCGCCAGTTGGCGATCATGATCGGGAGCAACGCACCTTGACCTCGCGAAGGGCCATGCATTCGTCCCAAGAGTAGAACTTCTGCTTCATCTTTTTGATGGCAACCTGCACATCACCATGTAGCCCATGCTCGCCGTGAGTACTCTGTCGCATTCGCTATCCTCTGCCATGCATATTTGCCTGCAATAGCCGAGCAAGAGCCGAAGAAGGTCGTAGACGCGCGCCAAAACAACCGCCACAGCCTTTGCACACCGCTCACCAGCCGACACACACACACATACACACACGCACACACGCACACACATGCACTCCATATCACTCTGCCGACAACACCACACGTACCACCTCCCCACTCGACTTGTCGGTGGCCTTGAACACCGCGCCGAACGTTCCGTCGCCCAGCTTGGACGACACTGCATACTTTTGCATAGTCGGCCAGCCGAGCGGGGTGTGCTGATTCACCGAACGGTCGCCGACTCGGCACTGACTCGGCACTGACTCGGCCTCGACTCGGCCCCGACTCTGGTCCGACTTGTCGCGGTGCCTGTCGACGACGGATGCGATCGGTTCGCGGAAGAACATGCTTGCCTGACAGCACACCATCTCGATTGCTGACACACTCGCCGATCTCCACCTTGTCTCGGTGGCGATCTGACTCGGGCCCGCACAGCGGGACGAGGCGAGGAGCGACGGCATGCCGTGGATGCAGGTCGCGACGAGAGTCAGCTGCAGCAGGAGAGCATCACGGTTGCAGACTTATCAATACCAAGATGAAAAACAAGCAGGATGATGCGGCGGGATGCATCACTTGATATCAAAAGCGGCGCGGCGTGATTGAGAGGCAGCCGTTGTTGACGACGTCATGACGGAATCAAGGGCCAAGGTCAAGAATTTTTCATCAATCATCACATGAACAAGACCATGTCACGGGCAGCTGGTAGTGCTAGCTGTTGCGGAGGCAGGCCTACCCTCGCCACCAACACCTCGCTCTCTCCCTCTCTTTACTCTCCACACACGCTCACCCCCAACTCTACCACAAACTCCCTTACTCTCTCAACATGAGCCAGGGCAAGAAGGAAGCCAGCTCGGTTCCCGAGGGCTACCAGGTCGAGCCGCGTCTCGGTACGGTGCCCGCCCCCCCCCCCCCCCCCTCCCTCCCCTGTTCCCCTTCATTCAGCCACATCGACCCATGTGACTTCCCATGGCCACCCCCTTCGACCCCACACTGCCTCCTGCTGGCGCACACACACACACGTTCACGCTCCCCACACACATGCATGCACAAGCATACACATACCCTCAACTCCTCACCTCTCCTTACACTAACCCTTCCCTCACCTCGCCTTCCTCCCACACGTAGACTACCGCACGGTGACCGAGGTCAATGGTCCGCTGGTGATTCTCGACAATGTCAAGGTACGGACGAAAACGAGTGTGTAGCCGACATGGAGAGATGGCCATCAGTTGGGAAAGGATATGCTGACATCCTCGCCCACGGACAACATGTGTGTACATGACTGTGTGTGTGTATATATTTGTGTGTGTGTGTGTGTGTGGTTGCTACACACACGCACACCATACCCCCTCCCCCCCCCCGCTCTGCTCCCTCCTCCCCCCCCCCTCCCCCCTCTGCGCTCATCACTACCCACACTCACACCTCCCCACCCACACTCACTTTTTTTCTGTCGGGCAACATCAATCTCTCCCTTCTGCTGCTGTGGGGGTTTGAATGACGCTCTGCTCTGCATGCGGCCGGCGTGTAGTTTCCCAAATATGCGGAGATTGTCAACGTGACGTTGGCAGACGGGACGGTCCGGCGCGGCAAGGTGCTCGAGGTGTCGGGCGGACGTGCTGTTGTGCAGGTGTTTGAAGGCACGACCGGCATTGATGCGCGGCACTCGCGGGTCGAGTTTACCGGTGACGTGCTGCGGATGCCTGTCTCGCGCGACATGCTCGGGCGGACGTTCAACGGGTCGGGCAAGCCTATCGATGGCGGCGCGCCGATTCTGGCCGAGGCCTTCCTCGACGTTGAGGGCCAGGCGGTGAACCCTGCAACGCGGACGTACCCGGAGGAGATGATCGAGACGGGCATTTCGACGATCGACGTGATGAACTCGATTGCGCGCGGGCAGAAGATTCCGCTCTTCTCTGCCGCCGGACTCCCGCACAACGCCATTGCCGCGCAGGTGTGCCGGCAGGCAGACCTTGTCGACAAGGAGGCCGGCTCTGAGTTTGCGGTGGTGTTTGCGGCGATGGGTGTGAACCAGGAAGTTGCTCGGTTCTTCCAGCAGGACTTTGAGACGTCGGGCGCATCGGAGCGTGTCTGCCTCTTCCTCAACCTCGCTTCGGACCCGACGATCGAGCGCATCGTGACGCCGCGGCTGGCGCTGACGACGGCCGAGTTTCTGGCCTTCGAGTGCGGCATGCACGTGCTGGTCATCATGACCGACCTCACCTCGTACGCCGACGCGCTGCGCGAGGTCTCGTCGGCCCGTGAAGAGGTGCCCGGCCGCCGTGGCTACCCGGGTTACATGTACTCGGACCTGGCGTCGCTGCTTGAGCGCGCCGGCCGTGTCGACGGCCGCCCGGGCTCCATCACCCAGCTGCCCATCCTCACCATGCCCAACGACGACATCACCCACCCGGTCCCGGATCTCACCGGCTTTATTACCGAGGGACAGGTCTTTGTCGATCGCGCGCTCTACCGCCGCGAGCTCTACCCGCCCATCGGTGTTCTGCCCTCGCTCTCGCGGCTGATGAAGTCGGCCATCGGCGAGGGCATGACTCGCGACGACCACTCGGAAGTCTCCAACCAGCTCTACGCCGCCGTCGCCATCGGCAACGACGTCGAGGCCATGAAGGCCGTCGTCGGTGACGACGCCCTCACCCCCGAAGACATGCTCTACCTGGCCTTCAAGGACCAGTTTGAGAACAAGTTTGTCTCGCAGGGCCCTTACGAGTCGCGCACCATCGAGCAGTCGCTTGACCTCGCCTGGTCGCTCCTCCGCCAGTTCCCGGCAAAGATGCTCAAGCGCATCAAGGCCTCCACCAAGGACAAGTACTACAACCGCCGCTCCGCCGCGGGTGTCGGTGCTGGCCCCAAGTGAGCGGACGCCCTCTCCCTCCCCCTCCGCACATTCCCACGTAAACAATCAAAATGCGTGTCTACTGGCCTGCCGCCCAGCTACCGACTACCGCAGCGGCGGCGGGAGCCGTGCCACAGCTCCCAGCTCGTCCACGTTCTCGTCGCTGTTGGGCGAGCCCATGCTCGCTCTCGCTCCAGACTCCCTCACCAAGTCTGCCACTGATGACGCGCGAACCGAGAGCACCGCAGCCAGCGGATCGCGCTGATCGACTTGGCCGAGCTCGACAGCCTCACGGTTCGATCCCCGACGCGAACGCTTGGCGCCGCGCTGTTGCGGCGTGCCGACGGCGCCGACAGGAATCGGTGTGAGAGCCGCCCCGCTGCCGCTCACGGGTGAGACCGACGAAGGCGCGGCGTAGACCTCCGACGTCCGGTCGATGCCCTCGTCGATGAACTTGATGCTGCCGTTCTCTACCTCGTTGTCGCTGCCGTCGTCGTCGGCCAAGTGCGGTCCACCAGGCGTGACCCGATGGCGGTTGACGACTGGCGCCGAGTACTCGAGAGCCATTAGATCGCGCGACTTGGACGGAACATGCGTAGTGGTACCATGAGTGGTGTGGAAGGTTTGGATCATGGCTGCGAGACGCGCGCCCTGCGACTCGTGCTCTGCGCCTCCTTGGCATGCAGGCTAGAGACGCTGTGAGTTTCATGGCTTTTTCCGGAGATCGGTAATTCTAACTCTGATCGCGTTTTCGTTGTAACTCACCTCTCCCGATGACGGCACAGCCGGCGGATGCGACGCATCACTTGGGTCGGACTCGCCCGTCGGGTCAGCAAAGAACGCCTTGAGCTGTGAGAGCTGCTGCTGCTGCTTCCGCGCCCGTGTGCGCGAGCCTCCGGTCCACTTGAACATGAATGATGGAGAAGTGTGGTGGCAAGGAGAGTTTTTTTACAGGGCCGGCCGCCATGGCAGCGTCAACCGCACAAGCCATTATGCCACGTAGATCTTGATGACCTGATCGGGCGAGAACGATGCGCGACAGATCGGGCAGGAAGAAAGCGGCTGGGCACACTCGAGGCAGAGCGCGAGGTGGCCGCAGACGGAGAGGACGGCTGTTCGCGGCGCGTCCATGCACACCACACACGACTCGTCCTCATCGTCATCGACATCGTCGTGTGGAAGCCCGCTCGAGCTAGGCAAAGGCGAGGTGGACGAGGCCGATACCGGCGCGTGGCCGCGGACCAGTGAGCAAGCGCGACATGCGATGCGGTAGCTAAAGTTGTGATGGCTGCACGCTGGGCAGCGCCAGTCGCCGTCGCGCTGCTGCGGAGCCAATGTTGCTTTTGGCGACAGGCATGATCGACAGCTGGTACGCACTGCAAAGTTGGAAGTCGTGCACTTGGTGCATGTCCAGTTTGCCACTGTGGCCACCGGCGACGGCTTGGCAGCACCGCAGTCACGGCACACGCTTCGCGATCCAAAGTTGTGTCCGCTGCATGCTGCGCAGTCCCAATCGCCTGCACGGCGCGGCGGTGCGGCTGACGTCGCACCCACCGACACCCGTGCGGACGCCGGCGCCGGCTTGGCAGCACCGCAGTCGCGGCACACGCTTCGCGATCCAAAGTTGTGTCCGCTGCATGCTGCGCAGTCCCAATCGCCCGCACGGCGCGGCGGTGCGGCTGACGTCGCACCCACCGACACCCGTGCGGACGCCGGCGCCGGCTTGGCAGCACCGCAGTCGCGGCACACGCTTCGCGATCCAAAGTTGTGTCCGCTGCATGCTGCGCAGTCCCAATCGCCTGCACGGCGCGGCGGTGCGGCTGACGTCGCACCCACCGACACCCGTGCGGACGCCGGCGCCGGCTTGGCAGCACCGCAGTCGCGGCACACGCTTCGCGATCCAAAGTTGTGTCCGCTGCATGCTGCGCAGTCCCAATCGCCTGCACGGCGCGGCGGTGCGGCTGACGTCGCACCCACCGACACCCGTGCGGACGCCGGCGCCGGCTTGGCAGCACCGCAGTCGCGGCACACGCTTCGCGATCCAAAGTTGTGTCCGCTGCATGCTGCGCAGTCCCAGTCGCCTGCACGGCGTGATGGCACCGACGAGTTGCTTCCCATGTGCCTGGTTCGAGGCATACTAAGGCTGTTGTGGCTGTTGTCGCGGCGAGTCGATGCGTGCTGGCACGGCCTTTTTCAATGCACTCCAACTCCATCGTTCCACCACGACAAGCCGGTATTGACTCGCCAGCACGTCTACCACCATCGATCGACTCGAGAACGCTGGACTCACATGGGTTAGGCATCATACGCTTCCTGATGATCCATGAAGGGCTGATCGGGCGCGGGCACGCGAGCGGGCGCTCGGCGACGGTCGCGGCTTGGCCAGCTCGGTGGCGCAGGCGTTGCAGACTCTCACGGGCTTACCGTTCGACTTGGGCGTCACCATCCGCGCCGGCGAGCAAGCGTAGCAGTAGAGACCGCCGCACGCCCGACAGTGGTGCTTGCGGCGGTAGAAGGAGAACGAAGGTCGCAGCTAGTGCACGCCGTGGCACCGTCGTCTGGCACCCACGCGCCCTCGGTAGCGGTCTGAAGCTCGGCGAGCGAGCTCCGCAGCTCGCTCACTTCGGCCACAAGCCGCGCCACAGACGTTCGCAGCTCCTGAACGTGGGCCTGCTCGTGCGTGAGTGACTCACGGAGCTCATCAGCCTCGCGTTCGGCCTGTCTAGTGTCGGCGCGGGCCTCGTCGAGCACAGCAGCGGCGGCTGTGGCTGCGTCGGCGGCTGCAGCCTTGCTCGCCGCGTGCGCCGCCTGCTCCGAGGCTAGCCGGGCCTCGGTCCTTGCGAGCGATGACGAGAGCGTCTCGATCGAGTCCTGCAGCGCAGCAGTGTTGGCGGCAGCAGCAGCCGACGTGTCTGCAAGCTCAGACTCGGCAAGTGCCAACTGCGCCCGCAGCTCATCGAGTGCCCGCGCGTGATCGGTGGCGAGCTTCTCGGCAGCGTCGCGGACATCGGCTGAGCCGGCGTGAGCCTCACGCTCGCGGCGGAGTTCGTCTGCGAGTCGCTCGCGCTCAGATTGCAACGTCAGCAGCTCATCTTCTTGGGCTGCAAGCCGGGTGGCAGCATCTGAAGCCGACTTGGCCGCCGCCAGCATGTCGCTCCGCAGTGAGTCAACCTGAGCGGCCGCCTGGTCGCGCGCCGTCCGCGTCGCCGCCAGCTCGGTCTCAAGCGTCGCCTTGGCGTCGTGCAGCGCACCTAGCTCGGTCCGCAAATCGTCGATGGTCTCGACCTGCTGCGCCAGCTGCAGCTGGAGTTCAGTCGACGCCGAGTCGGCCGAGCCCGCCGCCACATGCGTCGACGAGAGCTTCTGGTTCAGCTCCGAGATCGCGTCATGGCACGCCACAAGGTCGGCGTCACGCTGCGCCAGCGCTGTCTCGGCCACTTTAGCTCGCTGGCTCGCCTCGGCTGCCGCGCTCTCCAGCACAGCCTTTTCCGCCAGCAGCGCCTTGAGCGACTTGTCCAGCCCATTCGCCCGCGACTCCGCTTCCTCTTGGCCCTCCACCGCCACAATCGCCCGAACCTTGGTCTTCTCCAGCTCATTCTGCAGCGCCTTGATCTTCAGATCGTACTTGTCTGACAGCTTGGTCACCAGCGCCTACTCCACCCGTCCCGATCATCGCCAGTAGCAGCAGCAGTCGCACGCGAGTTCCCATCATCTCGACCTTGCGTGAGTCTGCTCCCGACCCAGGCCGGCACGCCCCGCACCACAACCTCGCCCCCTTCACAGCACTTCCTCCCGCCAACTCCCATACCTGATGCTGCTCCTGGAGCTGCTCAATGAGGTCGCTGGACATGGTGTCCCCTCCCGTCCTCTCGTAGACAAATGAGACGTTGTTCCGTTTCTCCACCCGGTAGCACCGGCGGTAGTCGACCACACGCCACACGCCCGGCACGCTGCGATGGCGCAAGGGCCCACGGCCACGCTGACAACCACCTGATTCGGGATCTTGGCAAGATCCACTCAACAGCTACACACATCCAGCCTCCGATCAACTCGCCCTGCTTTGGGCAGAGTGAGGGGCTCGACGAAACCAACGTGGTGTGGCGGCTTGGCAGCATCTGACCAACCATGACTGATCCACCATGATGATTCGCAGCGCGCATCATCGTCATCATCACCATGACCATCTTGGCCATCTTGGCCATGTTGACCATCATGGCCATCGTCATCGTCGCAGTCACCAATCCCCCATCACCACGTTCTTGCGACTGCCTCGGCACGTGCCAAGTCACGAGGTGCAACCACCTGGCTGATGTCGCACCTTATCACCGGCACATCTCACCCTCACTCGACTCATTGCCGAGACTATACACTATGGACAAGACGATGAGTGCAACTGCTGTCATGTGTCTGGTGGCGTGCGGGATGGTGTGGCTGGCAGCGGGTGACTCTGCGCCTCGGTACCTGTCGGCTGCGGGGAGGTCTGCTGAGCTGGGGCCTTTGTCGACATCGGCCCATTTGGCCGCTGTCTGGCAAGCTCGCTATCCGGGGTCAAAGATCACTGCCATGCCATACATTGCAGCTCTTTACCGCTACGGTGGTACCATCGGTGTTCTTGGCCGACTTGATGCTGATCTCATCGGCAACTTTCCGGCCAACGCCTCATCGCCAACCCCAGCCTGGCTCGCAACTACCGATCTCTTCCCCACCGTCACAGCTGGCGGAGACAACGACATTGGCTATGTTTTTACGAACTCGTCTGCCATGGGATGCAAGCTCGAGAGCTATACCCTGCCGGGCAAGGACGGAACTCCGGCGTGGTTGTACTCGTGCCCCTCGGGCCACACCGGGGTAATGGCTTCATCCGGCAACGGCGAGCTCGCGGTCGTCGTCCATCTTGACGAGTCGGATGCATCATCGCCGATCACCTTTGATGCCTTTACGCCCAACGGCGGCGGCAAGCCTTTCCTCAACGTCGACATCTCGCAGACTGCGCCCAAGCTGGGAACCCCGCTGCAGCACCTCATTTCATTCCAGGCCTCAGGCCCTGGCGTCTTTGTCTCGGACGGCTTCTCCTACGCTATTGTCTCCTCGTTTACAGGCAAGGTCCTCCGTCATGGCAACCCTGGCGCCGGCAAGCCCATTGCCGCCTCGTGTGGTGGCGGCAAGTACCTTGTCCTCGGCTACCCGCAGAATCAGGAGCTCCTCGTCTGGGCCGACCACAAGTACTCGAGCATTGCCTCGCTGCCGCAGCTCTCGGTGGCACCTTTTCCGATGACTGCTCCACCCTCGCCGCCATCGCCATCAGCGGCGACAACTCACTCACCACCTACTCCATCTCGGGCAACCAGGCGGCCGTCGCGAGCAAGGTCCAGCTCCCGTCGCAGGGCGAGGCTCCAGTCCAGGTCTCGCCCACCGGCGCCGCCATTGTCGTCGCCGCCCCCATCGCCAACGCCGTCTACATCCTCCCGCCCCCCTACACAGCCGCCTCGATGCTCACCGCACATGTCTCCTCTCCTGACGGCACCAAGATCGGCGCCTTTGAGCCGCCTGCTCCCAACGGCGTCGCCGCTTACATCTTTGCGCCCGGCTACGACTACAACTCGTCCGACTACACTATCGACTACTTTCAACTTCTTTCCTAACCACACACTCCCCAAAATCGATTACACAAGCCGATCGCCTGCCTCGGAGCGTGCCGTTCAAACGGCACACGCGAGCAAGCCGCCGGGCGTCACCAAATTTATGTCATACCCCCCCCCCCCCCCACCCCACCCACCCACCCACCCTTCACCCACCCACCCTCAGCCTCACACTCCCGACCTCCACCCACACACCACTCTCTCCTCCACCCGGCCATGTCCTCCACCACAGAGAGTGTTCTGTCAGTCTACGACTCGCTCTTTCCAACAACTGTACGCACCGCCATCCCATCGGCCCCCTCCCCTCCCTTCCCTTCTCCTCCCCCCCAGAGCATCCACCGCCCTCACGCCCTCGCACACAGACCACGCTACATGACCTGGTGAGTGTGTTCCGAGAGAGAGATGGAAGTGAACATGGAGTGCTTCTTCAAGTCCTGGCTCATCGGATTGGAAAAGCTGTTTCCGAGTCCGGGTCTGATGGTCAACTTGATGATGACCTTCTCCTCGCTCAGAGCGGTCAAGACGTCCAGTCTGCCCGTCTTCTTGCTCCATCCCTTCCTCATCCTCAGCTCTTTCATCATGCTGTCGATAACATCCTCAATGTGCTCCTTGCAAGGGCTTCCATCAATGCAGAGGCTGACAAGGTAGAGGTCGACGAGAGAAACGCCCTGCTTGCTCAGGCCGTCGATCTCGTCCTCTCACTCGCTCCGCACGCTGCCGCCGTTGTCGACGCCGTCATCATTCCGCTCGTGCTCGACATCATTGAATCCTCTCTGACTGCCGATGGAGAGACTCATATTGATATGGGCCGCACCTTGGCTGCCGTCCGCGTCCTTAACCTCATCCTCCGCTCGCCGCGCGAGCCCATCCCTCGTGATCATCCGATCCTTGAGCGAGTCCGCGCTGCGGTGCTCGCTGCGCTTGACCTCAACTCGCCGCACGAGCTGCGACACGCGGTTCTCGGCGATGCCTTCCTTCTTCTTTTCTCGTCGCAGACGGCACTTCGCTGGCTCCCGCAGCTCTGGGCCGTGGTCAAGCGTCTGCACGCTGCCATCCCGCACCTCGCCACCATCTCGCGCAAGCACCGCGAGCGCAACGCCAAGTCGCGCATCGCCGTCGACGACCTCCCGGATGCTACGCTGGCGTACTACGACGGCTACGCGCTGGCCATTTTTGTCATCCGCGCCTACTTTGCACCGCGCCAGGTCGCCGCCAAAGCCTCGGTCCGTCCGCCGCGCGACGTCGCCGACGCCGGTTACGACGCCGACAAAGTCAAGGTCCGCAAGACCAAGTCAGCCAAGCGGGCCAAGGCCGCCCGCCAGGCCGCCGCCGCCAAGACTGCCGCCAAGGCCGCCGCTGCAGAGGACCATGCCGCCGCCGTCGCCGCAGCGCTCGCAACACTCGACATCCGTGCGTCGGCCTCTACCTGGCAGTTTATCGAGACCGGCATGATGGACGAAGACATCCTCACCCGCAAGCGCGCCTCGTACATCCTGCAGATTGTCATCGATGTCTCGGTCGCCCACCCCGGCCCGCTGGTCGCGGCGCCGCCGCAGATCGGCACCTACTTTGTCCCGCTGCCGGAAAGCCCGAGCCCTGATGCGCTGGCCCAGTTCAAGACGGCTTGGAAAGCCCTGTTTGCACTCTACGACGCGCTTGAAGAGGCCGGGCCCATCATCCTCCGCGATCTTTGGAACGAGCGAGCATCGGTTGTCGAGGCCTACCTCCCTGCCCGCTGGATGCGGCTGATCTACTTCCACGGCTCGACCAACTTTAATGTTCTCCACCACCAGGTCTTTGCCCCGCGCCTTGTCCTCACGCCCGGCCCGCTCGCCGTCGACATTTTCGCCGACGACACTCAGTACACCGTCTTCTGGACCATCATGCACCTCGGGCTCAACCATGCGGTCCTCTTCCGCTCCCTCCCGCCCGTCGCGCTCCCGGACGGCATCTCGCCGGTGAGCGACGACGCCAACCAGAGCCCGCTGGGTGCTGCTGTTGTCGCCTTTGTCGCAAACTACATCAACGCGCTCACACCTGCCGCCGCCGTCGCCTTCCTCCGCACCTTTCCGCGCAATCTCTCCGGCCTTGCGGGCAACTCGCTCACTGCCGAGCTGGGCATTGCGCTCGCGCTCGGCATCTCGTCGTCGGGCCTGGTTGTGGGCGCATGGGACTCGGCATGCTGTGCCGAGCTTGTTGTGCTCTTCAAGACCGTGTTTGAGGCAGCGTCCATCTCGTACCGCGAGCGGACATACGCCGCTCTCCTCGTCGCCCTCTCGCGGTTCATCGACACCGAGTCGGTCAGCCTGGACCAACTAGTCGAGCTGTTCGGCATGTTTCCGGCCGACGCCCTCGCCTGCCTCGCCCCATCATCGATCCATCGTCTCGGCTCGGCCGTCGGCACTCTCGGCGCCGCTGCAGGCTCACTGAGTGCAGTCATCGCCGCTGTTGCTGCCCCGCTCGACGCCGCCCGGTCGCTTGCTGCCATCATCCGCCACGCCGATGGCCTCGCCCGCGCGCTTGCGCTTCACGTCCGGGCTCGTGGCGAGAACGAGGCCGAGCTCGTCGGCTGGCTCGCCCCGGTCCTCACCGTGCTCTCAGGCATTTACTCGAACACTTACCTCGGACCACTGCATGCCGAGCGGTGCATTGCGCTCGTCACCGCGCTTCTTGCCCATCTCGGCCCGCTACCTGGCCTGGTCGCCGCTCTCGAGCCGGTCCTCGGCGAAATGTTCTCGTACATGGCTGCAGGCCTCGCAAGCTTGAGCGTCATCGAGCAAGCCGAGGCCCCGCTCGCCACCGCGCTGCACAAGATCGAGGTCCATGCGTCACTGGTGGCGTTTCTGGTTCGCGAGCCGACGCTAGCCTGCCTCCCGAGCGTGGCTGCCGGCGTCCGGGCACTCGGGCAGCCGATTGTCCACGGTCTGACCGCTTCAGCCGAGCCCGACTCGCCGGTTTCCCCTGTGGCGCGGACGGCGGCCGCGGCCATGCTTCATGCCATCGCGCCTGCCCTTGTCAGCTATGACGTTGTCGGCCTCGCACCGGCGACCGCGCTGCAGCTGGTGGCCGAGTCAGGGAGCTTGGACATTCCGCGATGCATGCGATCGTGGCTCGACCTCCGTCCGACAGCGCTCCTCACCAGGTACTCGCGGGGGATTTGGGGCGCGGTTCACGACGTGCTTCTCTCTGTGGGACCGACGCTCGGAATTGATAGCGCGTTGCGCGCTACAGCCGTGCAAGGCCTCCCGCTTTCTGCACTGCTGGACGCCATGATCGGCGCTATTTCCGAGTGCACGTGGTGGGCAATCGAGCCACTTCTTGCGGCGCTTCGGCTGGTCAACGCGCTCGGCGGCATGCCTGCCGAGCGGGCAGGCGAGGTGTGGGACGGTATCTACGACGGCTTCCTCGCGGTGCGGATGGACCGACCGGGCTCGCTCTGTGGTGCGGCGATTTCTGCGGTACTGACGCCGTCGATTGTGACGGCGCCTGCTGCGGCGCCGGCCATCATCCAGCTTGTCGACGATGTGCTGCGGCTGGCGGTCAAGATCAAGGGCCCAGTCAACACGCTCGCTGCGGCGCTGTACGCACCGCTGGTGACGGACCCTGCAAGCGTGGCGCGGCTGGCGCCGGCCCTGGTCCGCATCGCGAGCTACATTCACGACGCTCCCGAGTCGGACGTCGGTCTCTTTGGCATGATCACCGAGATGGAGGCCATTGCCACGAATGGGACCGAGGTGGCCGAAGCAACCGGCAGCGCTCGCTGCCCGGCAGTCTTTACCGCCGACGACGTCTACGCCCGGAGTGCCATGGGGGCGTTGGCGGCATCGCTGGAGGGACACGGCGAGCGGGCTGCCGACGCGGTGGCAGCGCTTGTTGCTGAGATCTTTGCCCAGTTTGGCGGTCCGCCCGAGCCCGAGGGGCGGAAGAGCAAGAAGAGCAAGAAGAGCAAGGCGTGCGAGCTCGGCAACAGCGGTGAGAAGCGGCGGCGAGTCCACCTCCTACAGCTGCTAGTGAGCTTGGGCGTGGCGATCAGGCACGTGCCGCTGGACGAGCTCTCCGACCCGCTGTGGCAGCTGCAGATGTACAACCACTCGCCGCTCGGCCAGATCTTTGTGCACCTTGCCATCCGGTTTGCAGTGGCAGGACACGGAGTGCCGATGCAGGAGCAGCTGCTGCAGCGGCTGAGGGAGACTCGGGTCATCAACAAGCGTGAGACAATTGGCCTGCTCTGTGCGTTGTATGCGGTGGTGGTCGACCTAGGCGCGAGCGCCGAGACGGCGGCGTTCCTGGACGCGGTTGTACCGGCCATCCTCCCGCTTGTTCTCACCCACGCGTACCGGACACATGCGCTTGGGGTCATCAACATGGTCAAGGTCCATGAGGTGCTTGCCAAGCACGCCGCGGCCGGCTCGGCCGAGTGCGCTGCAGTGCTGGCGCGGATGCAGGCGGATGCGACACTCTCGGCGATCGTCAGCATTTCGCAGAAAAATGAGTCGCAAGCACTAGACCTGCTGACGACGGCACCGCTGTACGAGCGCACGATCCGCGACGGCGAGGCGCGGGTGCGGCTTGTCTACGTCGAGCTCCCAAACGATGTGACCGATTCTGCGGGCATGCTCGGCTCGGACATGGTCTTTGACGTGCTGTACGGGAAGTGCGACGACGAGACGCTGTTTGCATCACAGCGCGCGCCGAGCGCGGTCCCGCTGCGGCCGCGGCAGCTTTCGCTTCGGTTGCTGCGGTGCTCGGAGCGGTTCGAAGAGTTTGCTCTGGAGCCAGAGCAAAGTGCGGCGCTGGCGGAGAACGCAGTGGCGAACGGCGACGCCAACTTTCAAAGCAAGATCGATCCGGGGCTGTGCCTCTCTGGCGAGACCCGCGGCGACGACTATGCCCAGCGTGCGCGCGCGGATCTTATTGTGGTGGCATCGCTCATCACGCGCGAAACGAACCTGGGCGGCCTGACGCGGACTTGCGAGATCTTTCACGCCGGCAAGCTGGTTGTCGGCTCTGCCGAGGTCCTCCACACGCCGACGTTCCGGTCACTGGCGGTGACGGCCGAGAAGTGGATGCCGATCGAGGTGGTAGGTGAGCCGGACCTGGCCAGGTATCTGCAGGCGTGCAAGGACGACGGCTACGCCATTGTCGGCGCCGAGCAGACCGCCGAGTCGGTCTCGCTGGAGGACTTTGAGTTCCCGGCCAAGACAGTAGTCCTCCTCGGCAAGGAGCGTGAGGGCATGCCTGCCGAGTACATCTCGATGCTCGACTACTGCGTCGAGATCCCGCAGTTTGGCGTCATCCGCTCGCTCAACGTCCACGTCACCGGCGCTCTATTTGTGTGGGAGTATGTTCGCCAGCGCCAGCTCCAGCAGTAGCCGACGCAGCTGACAGAACATTGTCTGAATCCGCGAACCCGCTACAATACAACTCCCTCTCTCCATCTTGGCGATGAACTAGCCATACCGCCACCCGTGGTCCGATCGGCGCCAGCCGAAGTTTTTGTGTGCTCCGCAACTGATGATGGCCTGCGCCACGTAACCGACCGACCCCGCCCAACATCAAACACAACGAGTCTAGCTCCCGCTCGAGCATTCTTCCGCGTCACATAAGCGAGCAAGCTTGCGATCACCCTCATAGCTCGTACATCATCGCTGTGGAATGACGTGTCTGCCCCCCCCCCTCCCCTTCGCGGCAGGCCACCGGCCAATCGAGCCCGTTGTGGTTGTTGCCGAATGGCACTGCTCTTTCAGCCAGCCAACCCGGACGAGCATGTCGTTGCCGGACAGCCTTGGCCTCCCTTCTGTCCTCAACTACATCACACAAGAGTTCCGTCGTTTTGAACGTGAGCGCGCTATGTGGGAGTCAGAGCGTAGTCAGCTTAATGTACGTTGTCAATACTGATTGATGTGCCTAGACATGGTGGAGCCTTTTCCATACCCAAGGCCCTGTTGCCGGCGGTGATGTGGCTGGCGGCCATTTTTTGGTCGAGGGCGTGAGGGGCATGGCCACCGCTACTGAGCACATGGGTGGGGTATGGGGAAGACTAACATGATGAGTGTGTTGTACGTGTTGTGTTGCGTCTACTTGGTCTCTTCTATCACTTGGTACAGTCCAAGGTCGCTGTGCTGGAAGCTCAGAATGAGGCTGCCTTCAAGTCGGTTGACGACCTTAAGCGGAGGGTGGTCATGCTGCAATACGCCCTGCGTCAGGAGCGGGCAAAGGCGGCTGCCGCGGGCGCTACTCGGGGGCAAGCCAGGATGATGCTGCAAATCCTGGTGGGACAAGCGGGGACGGATCGGATGCGCTGGGTATGGCGACCCGAAGCGGAGCGGGAAGAAGATCCGGGTCAAGGCCGACACGGTGCGGATCCCGTCACTGGCCGAGCTTGAGGCCAAGTCGCCGGCGTCGGCCACGGCCGGCTCGTCGTATTCGATCACCGAGCGGAGCCGGTCGCTGCTCCGGTCGTACCTCCAGGAGATGGGCCTGCAGAACACGATGGTGCACGCACCGGCGGGCGCGTCGCCGAGCAAGCCACCGCGGCGGGACACGCCTACACCGGTCGTGGCGCCAGAGCCGGCGAGCAGCGGCTTTGACATGGACGCGCTTTCGGCAGTGACCGGTGCGGCGGAGCCTGCTCCCGTCCCGGCCCCGATTGTCGAGCCGGAGGCGACGGTGGCTCGGCGGACGTCGAGCCGCGGGCGCAAGAGCAAGCTCGCCGACCAGATGCGGGCATTCCAGGAGGCCGAGGCAGCGCGAGAAGCTGAGGCAGGTGCGGGCGCCGAGGCCGAGACCGCGGCCGGCAACGAGGCGGACTCCGAGCTCGGCGGGCTCGCCGAGCTGAGCGCGGACATTGCGGCCGGGGCGGAGGAGTCGGGCAACGGCAAGTCTTCCCTGTCTGGGGCGCCTGTGTGGAAACAGAAGCATTTGCTGCGGTCGCACCTTGACGAGGTGCGCGCGGTGGCGTTCCACGCGTCGGAGCCCGGCCTGGTGACCGCGTCGGAGGACGGGACGCTCAAGTTGTGGAACATGAACGTGATGGCCGGCGGACGCAAGTCGTCGCAGGACCACGAGCCGGTGTTCACCTTCCGCGGACACCGCGGGCCGGTCTACTGCTGCGCTGTCGACTCGCACAACAACATGATGTTCTCGGGAGCGGCCGATGGCAACGTGCGCGTGTGGAAGCTGCCGTCGCTGGCGTCGTCGCCGTACGAGTCGCATGGCTCGGCGTCAGCGTACAAGCTCGATCTTCTCTCCTCGCACACCGACGCCGTGTGGGGCGTGGCGGTTCACAGCTCACGCCCGCTCGTTGTCTCGATCGGCGCCGACGGCTTTGTCAAGTTGTGGAACTACTCGGCGGCGCTCAACGCGGCGCCGCTGGTCAAGGGCGGCTCCGGCTCGACCGGCACTTCGCCGGTGTGGTCGGTGACCGGCCCGTCGGTCCCGACCGCCGTCACATTCCTTGCCGCCGAGCCAGGCAAGGTCGTTGTCACCTACCGCGACTCGAGCGTCATTCTCCACGACCTCGAGACCGGTGCGGCTAGCGCTACCATCTCGTTGCCGGTGTCCGAGTCTGGTGCCGGCGGCGTGACGAGCCAGCCCAACGCTGTCGCGGCGCACCCGACGCTCCCATGGCTCTTCACTGCGCACGAGGACAAGCGCATTGTGATCTACAACGTCAACTCGTCCGAAGTGGTCGACACCATCGTGGCGCACCCGTCGGGCGTCGCCTCGGTCGCCGTCCACCCCTCGGGCCTCTACTTTATGTCGGGCGGCCACGACTCGTCGGTCCGGTTCTGGGACGTCTCCACCCGCCGCTGCGTCCAAGCCGTGCAGAAGCATCTTCGCAAGCACGAGGCGTCTATCAACGCTGTGGCTTACCACGAGGCCATGCCGTTCTGCGCCACCGGTGGCGCCGACTCGAACGTCCGTCTCTACGGCTGCTGACACGGTAAACGCGCACTCACGAGGTTGTTTTACGGATGTTGACTCACGAGACACTTACGTTAGATAGCACCCTCGTCCGAAGTGTACGAGTACTCGTCCCAGTCGTCCGAGTTGTAGTCCATGGCCGCAAAGTCGACGCGGTAGCGGAGGATACCACCGAGGCCGCCAAAGCCCTTGCAGAACTGCGAGCCCTCCTGCGAGCGGTCGGTGACAAAGGCGATGCGGGCGCCAAACTTGGAGTAGTTTGTGGCGAGCCACTCGACAAGGTCTTCGCGCTCGCCGATCTCGAGCTCGATGCCGGTCTCGCGGTCGTGGAAGAACGTCGGGTCCTGCTGCTGCTCGGGGGTGAGGAAGACGACCGTGGCGGTGCCGGTCTGCGGGTTGGTCATCTCGATGCGCTCCATGACGAGGTCCTCCCAGACGATGAGCGTCTCGACGGCGCCCATCTCGATGGCCTGCATGGTGTCCTTGACACCGTAGCACACCTTGCCGGTGTCCTGCGCAATGTGCTCAAAGTACTCCTTGATGAGCTTCTTCTCCTTGAGGAACTTGACGTTGGCGAGAACCTCGGCAGACTGGTCGATGGCCTGCGCCAGGCCGGCCTCCATCCCGTACGAGATGTCGACCTGCTTGAGCACAATGTCGCGGAGCCGCATGTCGAGGAGCTCAGACTCGGCGAGCTCGCGCTTAAAGTCGGCGGAACCGGCAAGAATGAGGCCTGCCACGTTGGGCATGTCGTCGGTAATGTAGTGCTTGGTCGCCATCTCACCGACCTTGCGGACCCAGTTGCGCCGGGCCTCCATCCGGAGACGCGCGAAACGGACCGCAGACTGACCACCACGTCCGTGCTTCTTGGGCAGCTCGACGCCGACCTTCTGCAGGATGTTCCGGTGGTTACCCGAGAGCGTAGCAAAGAGCGCGCCGGAACCGTCCATGATGATAAAGCCAAAGGTGTCGTCCTGCTGGAGCAGGTCCTTGAGCGGCTGCACGTGGAACCGCGAGTCGCACATGTACATCGAAGTGTTGAGCGGCTTGATCGGCTCGATGGCATACGTGACCTTCTTCTCCTTGCCGTCGTCGGTCAGCACGGTGCCCGTGTACAGCGCCAGGCCGTTCGGCGGGATCTGGTTGAAGCCCTTGAGCTTCTGCTGCGCAGAGGTAATGGCAGAAAGCACAGAGAGCCGGTTGACACGCGACTTGATGTTCGATGCAGAACCGGCCTCGTCCGTCAGCAGACGCGTCAGCGACGACACCTGGTCACCCGGCGGCGCGATGAGCGTAATCATCGACGTACCGTTGCTGCGAGGTGGGATGAGGGGTGAGTGTGGAGCCATGGAGGGGGGAGAGCCAAAGAATGACCATCACGACGCCAATCGACGTGTCGGTCCACATGATCTTGCTCGTCTATAGTGATGGCAACAATGACGTCTGCGCCGATGATCATGCCCATGCCGACCAAGGCAGAGGAGGTAAGGAGAGCGGGCGAGGACGTGTGTGGCTTGAAAGTGCGACAGCGGACGATATAAAGCGATGACATGAACAGCTTTCCGCATACTTGCGCACACGCCTACCATCTCTCGCTGCAGCACCTTGTATGGCGGTAGAAGTGATTATATCAATGATGGCGGTGTGTGGCGTGTATGGACAGGGACGAGGTGGATCGGAAGAAATCCACCTTTGGGGCGGGGGGGAGCACGCATGGCGAGGCACGTGGGGGGATAGAGAAGGTTTGGAAGGAGGGAAGATGTGAAAGAGTACGTACCCACGAGCGTTCTCAAGCGAAGTAAGGATCTTCTTCATCTTGAACATCTCAACGAGCTCGCGCTCCTCCTTGTCGGGGTCGGCCATGTTGGTGTGAGGCTGGCAGAGGGGTGGAGGTACTTGAAACACTGTCAACGATTAATTGAATGTGACCGAATTGAGACAAGGTCCCTGGAACCGTTGCATGGCAACGACCTTGGATGACTCCAACACTGATTTCAACGACATCGGCCAATACTCTGACTTGGGAACTTGGTAGAAGGACAGATCGATACGCGCCGGACACCCTTAAGCCTATTGCCTTATGTACCATACCGTGCATCGTTGCCCACCACACAGCATACGTTCATCATATGTTCATCATGCCAAAATAATCGTTGCCCATACGTTCATCACACGTTCATCATGCCAAATAATCCACATCAAACGTTCACCTCCGCAAAGAATCGCTATCTTTGCTTCCTACCTTACTCCCCCCCCCCC